CCCCGGGGGGGTCTTGGGGGGGTCAAGAAAAAGCCTGTCTGAGGCAGTGGCAGCCAGGGGGCAGCTGCTCCAGCGCACACCTGCAGAGAGGGGTTGGATCCGCCGTGAGCGGGATCCACCTGTGTCCTTTCCCCTGAGAGCCTGAAGCCCGGGTGTGGTTCTGGGTTCACAGCTCAGCCCAAAGGGTCGGTGTGACCCAGCTGATGCTGGAGCACTGGGAAATAAAAGGCAGATAACCCGAAAGACAGCGCCAGCCAGGCCGTTGGGGCCCTGGGCCCGGGGGAGGGAGGGGAGAGGCCAGCCCTGCCCTGCGTGTCCAGACCCTCCCTTAGGTGTGGTGCAGGTCAGATCCTGGCACTGCTTTAATGACGGGTCCAGGGCAGCAGTGAGAGGGGCGGGGACACGGGGCAGGGACATGGGGCGGGGGAGGCCTTTATGCTTAAAAACAGACTTCGGAGTCCAGGGCAGTGTGCTCACCAGAGCAGGTTCCCTCTCAGGTCTCTGCAGGCTGACCTCGGGCTCAGGGTAGGGGAGGCCACATTCGGGCGGTCATCTCTGTGACGGCCTCCCCACTGGGGAGGACTCCAAACCACTGGTGTCCCCTGGCTGTGGTCAGGGAGCACACGCAGCCTGCCGGGCCCTGAGCAGGCGTGGGGCGGGGACCTGCGTGGGTTCCAGGGCTGCGGCAGCCAGGGGCTCCCGAGAACGTGGAAATCCGAGTGCTTCTTGCTGGCAGGTGACCGGCTGTCCCTCCTGTTTCGCAGTGCCGGCGTGACCCCTACCGCCTGCTACGCTATGACCTGAACAGCCCGCTGCAGAAGGAGCCGCCCCTGCTGGTGAAGAAGTACTGTGTGGTGCAGGGCATGGTGCTGGTGAGCGCGAGGAGGCCATGGGGACTGGAGAGCGGGACTGGGAGAGTCGCCCACGCACAGTAGGGCTGCAGCCCGGTGCTGCCCAACCGCAGGAGACGGAAGGGCGACACAGCCCAGAGGATCAACTTCTCTGCATCTGTTTTTAAGTTACTTTATGTTCAAAGCACTGCAAGGGTGGGGGGCCGGCAGGTGGTGCGGTGGCTAGGTGCTGGATTTCCACATGGCCGACCACGGTTCGAGACTTGTACCTGGCAGCTTGGGAAATCACACCAGGCACATGTGTGTGTGTGTGTGCCCCAAGTCCTGAGAGGAGAGTGGAGGAGAGGGGATCGCAGGTGGCCATCCCCACGTTCCCTCTCTCTGCCTCTCTCTGGCGAGTCCATGCACCCTATGCAAAAACCAAAAGCAAAATGAATACCACAACATCCAGAGCTGCAATATCTGTTACAGAACACTTAAATACAGTGGAGAAAACAGTTGCACCCTGGGACCAGCAGTTAGCATAATGGCTATGTCGCTGGACTCCCACGTAGTCGACCGCGGTTCGCGTCCCGGACCCGGTGGCTTAAAACTCACGCCGGGCGTGTGCGTGCATGCCCAAGATCCCGAGAGGAGAAGGGAGGAGAAGGGATTGCGGCGTGACCATCCCCCCTGGGGGTGATTTCTCGCTTTCTGTCTCTCTGTCTCTCTCTCTCTTTCTGGCGAGCGCACGTGCCCTATAGCAAAAACCTCTCCGTGCTATAGAACACAGTTGTGCCCTCAGGTCACCAGAGTCCCGTTTGCTCATCAGCAGGTATGTCCTAGGGACCTGCTAGGCCCACACCCACCCCACATCTGGGTGTCTGGCCTTTGCGATGGCTCACGCCTTCGGTCCCCTCTGCACTCTGGGGGCTCCACAGCCCCAGGTTCAACCAGCTGCGCTGAGCCTGGCCGTGCCAGCATGAGGGTGCGTTGGGGTGGCTCCCTGAAGGAGGGCTGTTAGAGAGGCGTACCGTATATTCTCCCCACTTACGTCTGAGCTAAGATGACTGACCAGTAACCTGGGGGATCTAAGGTGCACGGAGGTGTGCGTAGGTCACATGCAGATCCGACGCCGTTTTATATAAGGGGCCGGAGCATCCGGGCATTTCCGTCTCTGAGGATCCTAGAACCAACCCCCACGGATACCAAGGACAACCGTACATATTTAGGGTCTTGGTTTTTGCTTATTTATTTATTTATTGTGTGAGAGAGATCATGGAAGAGGAGAGATTTTTTTAAAAGGGGGGAGAAGAGGCAGGCCTTTTTGGAGAGGATCTGGCCACAGCCTCCCGGTCAGCTGGTACCTCAGGCACCATCGCACTTGGCTGCGTAGGTTGCACTGGGAGCTGGACCCAGGCCCCCCGTGTGACCCCAGCCACCGCAGCAGCGCCCTCCTGCTTACTGCATCGTTGAATCGTTTGTCACACCTGATTTCTTTTTCTTTTTTGGAGAGGTTTTTGCTATAGGGCGCATGCACTTGCCAGACAGACAAAGAGAGACAGAGAGACAGAAAGCGAGAAATCAACCCCCAGGGGGGGCATGGCCATGCCACAATCCCTTCTCCTCCATTCTCCTTTCGGGATCTTGGGCACGCACGCACACGCGCCCAGCGTGAGTTTAAGCCGCTGGGTCTGGGACTCGAACTGCAGTCGGCTACGTGGGAGTCCAGCGACATAGCCATCACGCTAACTGCTGGTCCCTCTCATTCCTTTCTGCCGTACAAACAATGCCGTGAGTAATTCCCTTGTATAGAAGCCTTTGGGCAGGTGCCTGCTCGTCAAGCCTCACATGGGAAGAATTGGGTGGGGTTCAGAAGGCCCCACAGCTCCCGGTCTGTGGAGTGGGCTGGACGGTGTACCCCGCTAAGTGGGTGAGGGGCAGAGTGAGCCAGACCCCTGGAGGCAGGTAGGGGCCACTGAGCAGCAAGGCCCCGGCCTGGCCCCAGGGCTCTGGGAGGCTTTGTGTGAAGGCGCTTGAGCTGGCGGGCCCAGGGGGGCAGAGGCCGGTGCGCAGTGCTCAGGTCTCTCCTGTCTCCTGCCTGCCGTCCACAGATGTTTGCCGGGGGGCGGCTCCTCTTCGGGGGCTGTGTTCTGAATGGCTACGGCTTCAGCAAGCAGAATCTGCTGAAACAGATCTTCCGGGCTCAGCAGGACTACAGACTGGGCTACTTCCTGCCGGACGACTACAAGTTCAGGTAGAGGGGCCGGCGTGGAGGGTCGGAGGGCGAGGAGACCCAGGTGCAGGATGGGCAGGCTGCGTGGTCCACGCTGGCAGCCGGGGAGCTGGCCGGGAAGGCCCGGCGCAGGCAGGGAGTGGTGATGGGGCCATGGCACTGCTTATGTGGAGCACGAGTTTGGGAAAAGGGCCCCCTTAGAAGAGGGACGTGGGCCCATTGGGCAGTGCCAGCTTCTGTTGGAGAGAGAAGGCAGGGGTTATCAGTGGGGTTACCCTCCCCGCTGTGCACACCCCAGTCCTAGTCTGCCACACAGAGGGGGGTCAGTCACGCAGCGTCCTGGGCCCTGTACAAGGAAGTGGGGAGGTGCTGGCTTCCCTCTCTCTCTGGGACCCCAACTTGGGCTTTTCTCCCAGGGAAGGCCGACCTCCCAGGCCCCTCCTGGCCCAGCTCCGGGGCGACAGTCGAGGGTGTCCTGAAGCCTCCCATGGCTGCATCGGGAGGATGGGCAGGTTCTGCTATGCCTGGGCTGTGCAGTACCCTCAGCACCTCCCCGGGCGGGTTCCGGGGCGAGTGCACCCTTGTGCTGCTCCAGGTAGCTGGTGGCGGTGGGCTGGTCACTTTGCCTCTGCCGTTCTCAGTGTCCCCGCCTGCCCACTGAGGGTAAGGCCCGCCTCGCAGGGCTGCTGTTGTGAGTCCTACGAGGGTGCGCTCGCTCAAGAGCATCGTAAGTGGTGAGCGATCGGGCATGTGGAACGCGGCGGGGCTGCCTGTGATCGCACCTCCACAATGCCAGGTCCAGCGCCCCTGCTCCCAAACAGGCCAATCTTGGCCCAGTGTGCCGAACGTGGGCCTTGCCTGAGGGACTCCCTGGCCCTGCTGAGGAAGTCTGCCCTGGGAGGACCGTGCAGGTCACACTGAGCGACCCTGGCATCTGGAGCGCTCAGCAGAGGCAGCTCAGGAGGAGCCTCGGGGACTAGAGGGGCAGGCACCACACAGTGCAGAAGAAGGTGGCTGGTACACATCGCCAGGCTGTGTCACCGAGACCCCAAGAGGGAGGGGGCTTGGTGGCCCTTGAAGGCCAGTCCCCTGGCCATCCCAGGGAGCAAGAGGGCAGAGGCTCTGGGACTGCTCAGGGCTCAGGAGGAAGGCCCCAGAATGGAGGACCCCAGGAGGGAGGGGCGCCCTCACAAAGCAAGAAATCACCCCCAGGGGGGATGGCCACGCCACAATCCCTTCTCCTCCATTCTCCTCTTGGGATCTTGGGCACGCACGCACACGTGCCTGGCGTGAGTTTAAGCCACCAGGTCCAGGATGTGAACCGCGGTCGGCTACGTGGGAGTCCAGCAACATAGCCATTATGCTAACTGCTGGTCCCCACCTATACTTCTCACGGTTCTGGAGGCTGGGGAGTCCCAGGTCACGGTGCCGTAGTCGGTGTTGGCGAGGACTTCTCTTCACATACCACCTGAAGAGGGCCAGGCAGATCCCTGGGGTCTCTCTCTCTCTCTCTTTTTATTTTTTTGGTCTTATTATTTTTTAAACTTTTTTTAATTGCCAGAGGATGTGTGTGCTCACCAAAGAACCAGAGACAGAGAGAAACAGAGAAAGTACTCCCCGTGAGGCATGGTCATGCGCTAATCCCTGCTCCATTTCTCCATCCTGTTAGGATTTCTGAACCCAGCATGATTTTTTTTTTTAAGAATTATTTTCTTCAACTTTATTTATTTAACTTTGATCAAAGAGGGACAGAATGTGTGTGTGTGTGAGAGAGAGAGAGAGGGAGAGAGAGAGAGAGAGAAAGTGAGAAAGCAAGCTGCCAGGTCCAGGACTGGAACCGTGGTCAGCCACGTGGGAGTGTCCAGTGCCTTAACCACCACGCCACCTGCTGGCCCCCGGTAATCAGCTTTAACAAGAAGAGGAATCCCGACTCAGCCTGCCGTGTGGCTGCACCTGCAGGACGCGATGCTCTGTGGAATGAGCCAGTGACAGAGGACGGACCAGCGTTTCACCTCACGGACTAGAGGCCCCTGTTGTGCTCGCGGTCACGGAGACAGAAAGGAGAACGGTGGTTGCCGGGCTGAGGAAGGTGGAGGGGTGGAATGTGTCCAGAGTTCAGTCCTGCAAGGTGAAAGAAGCCCTAGATACCGTTGCACGGCCGTGCAGCGCGCGTGCGCTGTGTGCTGAGGGCGCTGGTGGGGTGCTCGGGGTTACGACGTGTGCTTTCCAACCAGTGGGGTTCTTAAAAAGGTTTTTGCCATAGAGTATGTTGTCTCAAGAGAGTAAGAGACAGAAGGAAAGTGAGAAATCATCCCCCAAGGGGGATGACCATGCTGCAATCCCTTCTCCTCGGATTTTGGGTGCACTCGCACATGGCTCCTGGCATGAGTTTGGAGCTGCCAGATCTGGGACTCGAACCGTGTCAGCCATGTGGGAGTTCAGTACAGTAACCACTAAGCCACTGGCTGCCTCCCCACCACAGTTTTAATGGGGGGGGGGACGCTGCTGCCTACCGCGCAGCTGAGGGGAGGGGACACAGGCTGTTCCCCTTGCCAGGGCTGAGGTCCCTCCCTTGGCAGGGGCTGGCTTGGTCTCCAAAGGCCACCTCCCCGCTCCAGCCACACGGGCTGTGATCCTCCTCCGGCTGCCCCAGTGTCTCCCCGCCCTGCCCAGCCTGCCCACATGTGTCTGTCCCCGTCCACACTGTGGAATTCCAGCGTGAATCCTCCCCTGCTTTGAGAAGGCCTGCTGAGGGGCTGTGGGGTGCAGTCATAGACACCCCAAGTCTACACACGGGGCACACCCATAGGCCGCCCCGGGGTGTCCCTGAGCCCCTCAGTGCGCAGCAGCAGGACCGAGGAGGGGCAGGGGAGGGGGAGGAGCCATGGGACGGGAAGCGTGGACTCGGGAGGCTGCCGTGTCCCAGAGCTGAGGCTGAAGCTGCACCCCAGTAAGCCCAGGAAGGCTCCTAGCTGGGCGGACAGCTGCCCACTGAGAGCCAGACCCGCCCAGAGACCAGAGCTGGGTGGGCTTGTCAGTGCCCCCAGTCAGTGCCGTCCCTCTTTCCTTATTTAGCTGGTGGCAGTCCCCCGCCCAGGGCAGCATTGCCCTGGGGCTGGTGTCATGCCAGGCTCAGCCCCTCCTTGCAGGGCACCCCACACTGGGTTCTCTCTGCTGTTCCGTAGCTCGGGGCTCAGCACAGCAGGGAAAGGGACAGGAAGTCGGTGCACAGCCTCCCCGTGCCAGCTCAGACCCCAGGGAGGGGACCCCCGAGGGAGGGGGTGAGCAGCAGACCCCCTGGGTAACAGTGGCGGCTCAGCCTGCCAGCAGCCCAGGGGCATCATGGGAGGTGAGGCCATGTTACCTAGAGGCTGATGAGAGCAGCCAGAGCCCGGCCAGGACTCTTGTCTCCCCCGGGCGCAGCGGAGCTGTGGGGGCTTCCAGCGGGAGAGGGTGGCAGCTGTGCTGGGGGAGGCGCTTGATGCCCTGGAGGCTCAAGCACAACAGGCTGGGAGCCTTGTTCTGTCCCTCCCTTGTCACACCCTGTCCCCCTACTAGCCGACTAGGTCCCCAGAGGGAGCGCACCTCATTCCCATCACAGCCCCAGGCCTGGTGGTCCTACTGCCCAGGGGCCCCCGGGGGTCTGGGGTGGAGGCTCCGGGGCTGCCTCTTTGCAGCCCGGCTGGGGCGAGGGAGAGGAGTGCGAAGCCACAGCTCCAAGCCCAGCCACTACCCAACCCCCAGCCACTAGGCAGCGTAGACAGGCTGGCCCAGGGCCCGAGCTAGCAGCCCCAGTGCAATGCCTTCACGTCAGAGAAGGGGAAACTGAGGCTCAGAGAGGGTGGGCGGTTGCCTGGAGAGGCAGCGTGCCCAGGCTCTGCCACACACGTGGCCGTGTCTTCTGGCTGTTGTCATCTCCCTGAGGGATGCGGGGTGCGGGCGTAATTCTTTTCCTTTTTTCTTGGAGAGGTTTTTGCTATGAGATGCATGCGCTCGCCAGACAGACAGAGAGAGACAGAGAGACAGAGAGACAGAAAGCGAGAAATCAC